CAATGAAATTTTGCAATATATATCATATAATAAATCTTATTTTTTTTAAACTTATATATTTGTATTTTTCAAGTATATTATTAAAATCAACATATATCCAAATCTTAGATATATCAATTAATACATATGCAAAAACTTTTTTGAGTTCAAATAGACTTAGGTCTACAAATCCAAATCTTTATGGATAATATTTTTTTTTCTCTTCATACAATAAGTTTTTGTGCTCTCTCAATTTTCTCACCAAACATTTTTAAATTCAGAGAATCTCTTCAATAAATTTTATTTCAGCTTTTTCATTAGAAAATAACATTGAGTACTCTCTTATTCGATACGTGATGGATTACGACGATCTATTTTAGTTTGTGAGATTAATAAAGAAACTCTAACTTAGTTTTTTTATTATTATTTACAACATAAATATCATCACATCAATGACTACTCAATCCAAGAAAAATATCAAATATTTAATATTAGACCAGTTATATAGAAAATGTGTTTATCGTCGTACAATAGTACGTCCTATCAAAAAGTCAGAGGCGAAAATTTTTATGAAAGTTATGAGAATTTAGGAAATGACTTTCTATTACTTGATGGAAATGTTAGCGTATTTTTATTCTATATAAATAAGAGTTTTAGTGTATAAGTAAATACCTTGATTAATGTCTAACTACGATTTTATTTTATTTTAACACAGGAAAATATGTTCATTATTCACTTTTTGCAAAATTTTAGAATCAATTTTGTGAAGTACATCTTATTAAAATTTACAATTTTAGTTTGTAACTAAAAATATGAGATTCAGTTGTCAAGATTTTGGAAAAAATTGATATATGAGTAGATACATTAAAAAAAATATAATTCAGTTAGGAATAGAAAAAACAAATTATTTAGAAATATATGACAAATTTAATTGAAAATAAAATAATATTATAAAAAATCAAAACACTTTAATAACGGTGAGACTTTCGTATTGTATTAGTGGTTTTGATTTTTGGTATTTTTTTATTTCACAGATTATAAAACATATATAAATTTTTTAAAAACAATTAGGAACATGAGAAATTAATTCAACAAGATTTTTAGAAAATAGATTAACGAATAACTAAAAAACTAAATTACTTTAGACATGAATAGAAGAAAAAAACTGATTATTTTAAAAAAATATGATCAAATTTACTTGGAAATTAAATAAGAAAAAAATCAAGATAAAAGAAATAATTGTTAAATTTATTTAGTATCAACGTTTTTGATCTTCTTTTTTTTTATTCTCATCGGTGTTTTTGTTTACGTTTCCAAGTTTGATTTTTTTCACGGGTTATAAAATATTTTATCATATACTCGCATATATGCAGATGCTTTACCTAGTTTATATATATTTCTTCTAACAGTGTTAAAGTATAATAATCTCATGATATTTTTTTGTTAAAGATAATCTCATGATTTCGTACATACTTATTTTTATAGGCCGATGCCCACGCGTACGCGCGGGTTTAATTAGTTTTTGTTTTTGATAGCAATATATTACATGGAGATCTGAAACCATTCCTAGAGACTAATTTCAGTTATATTGCATACTAATATATCGTGATTTTAATGTTATATAAATTACAAAGTCAAAAAAACATTAGAACATTATGTCAAAAGTGGGTTTCAGATCTAATGGCTAGATTAGATTAGAATCACTTGATATATCAGTATCTCAAAGAAGGCTAAGGAAAACACCCCCTTAACTTAGACCTTCGTGACTCTACTATGTCAAAGGCTAAGTTACAGTCTCTTGATGATGTGGACAACATATAGAGACAAAGAGTATCATGTTGATATCAACTGTTGGTTATTACTTGCAATTTCCTAACTCATGGTAATAAGTTTTTTTTTTTTTTTTCACAATATTCTCTATTGATCTCCAGCCAAGCAGTTCCATATGAATAACTCGTCAAGCGAAAAGAAGGTAGGTAACTCGAGTAGAGGTTGACTCGTGCGCCGTGAAAAAAGCCACCATGAATATTATGCAATTCATTTCTGCTTTACCCCTCACACCATCCTGAAGGTCGCATGAGGAAGTTATCTCCTAAAATTCTAAAGATGGCGTCTTGATTGAGTACTTTCTGGTCGCCAAAAGATCTATAAAAATAGTCATTCCTTAAATTGCCGTTAGGGATATCCAACATATAACTTCTTTTACTGCTCATCATATTCCCAGCCACTGTACAAAGATTAGTTATGTTAACAGAAATTGAACCCGACGAACCAAAAGATAACAGCGAATTAAAATGAACATAACATGGCGAGATGATAGGTTGAGCTTCTTACTTTGATACACAGAGGAATAAGTACAAAAAATAACAGTGAAAACTACAAATAGAGAATAATCTTAGAGAAATAAAACAAGAAGATTATTTGAGTAACCTTGAAGTGAATCTTGACATGTGCAATAATCAATCCTTTCAGATCATCATATGCAGAACCAATTCCAGTGCCACACGAAATACTTTATTTCCCCTCGTTCAATGTTTCGTTCGCATTTCGGTGTAAGCTAGTTAGTTGG